ATATATATATATATATATATGCAATGAAATCTCGCTAATCCGGACAATTGATGACAGATCCCAGCATGGATTGGCAAATTTTACGGATTATCAAAATTTTTAAATTGGTTCAAATTTATATAAATTTAGCGCCAATTTAAATAGTTTTATGTTGTTATTAAAATCAAATTATTCATTTAAAAAATATTAAATCGCTGTCATTTTCACTAAAATTTGCAATGATTTTAATAAAAATGACACTAGCAAAAAAAAATGTTTCATCACTATCCGCATGTTAAAGTTGAATATAGTCAAAAATCGGATTGTTGACACGTAATGATTTGTGTAATGCATTCCGAATTTGCGTGGTTCGTATTAGAGAGATTTTTCCGAATATCGTTTTGTAAATATTATCTATATAATATTACTTAAAGGTTTCTTTAAGAAAATTCCGTCCTTTGTCCTTCATCAAAGTTCTTCCGTAAATCCCGTATATACTCTATATTATGAATACCTACTTTGCCTTAACATGTTCTTTTATGTAAGAACAATAAACATATACATAAAACCAATTAAATATATATATATATATGGGAAATTACAAAATTCTTTTAAAATTCCATAGAAAAAAATTGAAAAAATTTTTTGCGAGCACATTCATGATTTTTGGCACATAGGTTAAGAAAAATATGCTGATTCCAAATATGTTATAGCTATTTTAAATCTTTTATTTCAAATGTAAATTAAATTAATTCCTATTTGTTGTAATTCGCTAATTTCTTCACAAATGGTTAAATACATTTGATTTCTTTGCATACTTGTCAAATCACATTGAAATACGGTTAAATTGGCGCGAGAAACAAATAGAAGCATGAAGATATCTGAAAATAAAATAAATTAATTTTTTAATTAAATAGAAATGTTTTTTGAATTTTCGATTTTTTTAGTATGGTTAAGGGAATACGGGTTTGCTTTAATCTTCTAAAATACGCGACGCTTTTTTCTTCAAATTCTTGTAGATGATTGTTAAATATCGGTATATTCATCTGATAGCAGTTTCGACTGTAAAAATGACTAAATATATTGCAGTTACAATACATAAAAATTATCAATATTTAAAAGCATGCAATTCGCGTATTAGTTGAAATCAGTTGATGCGCATGCTGTTTTCGTATAAACCGAATCAATTTCTTTCAATAATTATGAATTTTTGGATATTTTTTTAGCGGTCAAAGTGTGCCGCTCGGTGCACTTTACTATGCAAAAACCCTAAAAATGGCGCAACGTGCATGGACTTTCTTAATTTTAGACTCAAAAAATATGTTTTTTTATAAAAATTTACGCACCAAATTTTCGTCTTTGGAACCCAATTGCGAAGAAGCTACAGTGAGCACATTCATGAGATATACACTAAACGAAGCAAAATCACGAGTTCTACAATCCTATAATTAGTTTAGTCCATTATCTGGATGCGCATCCTAATTATAAGAAAAATTAAAAAAACACCGAAAATCCGGCTTCAAAATGTTAGCATCCTTTTTGGGTTGATGCAGTGATTATATCGAAAAATCATACATTAGAACCATATTGTCCATGGGGTATTCTGCAACTTATTCACTGATCACATGTGTGTGCGTTGTGTAGTTTAGCCACAAATCAGGAACGAACACAAAAAACCACGTTGGCTTCAACACATTTTCACCCATTTTTTTACATTACCACCATCACGGCTTCCACCAAACTTATTATTTTTTACCAATATTTTAAGATTTTGACAACAACACTTCATTTTATAGAAATGAATTTAAATTATATGCAATATGTTCATATTTCGCGAGTTATAACCTTGCAAACCTCAGCTTCAAGGAATTTAAAAGATTTTTGTAATTTCCCATATATATAAAAAGTAGTTACAACTAATCATCCCAATATCAAATCTCTCGTCCATATTGTACTCATTACTACATAGACATATACCAATACAAACAAAATATGCATACGACATCTGCATAAAAGATGGTTTTGTATATTTTATAAATACAGGATGAATATCTTAGAAAATAAAAAAAAAACAGCAAAAGAAAACACTCGACTGGGGAGTGTAAAATCTAAACAAACATAAACCTTTAATAGTGTCACAAAAAGAGTTACGACTTTAGAAATTAATGTGAATATGATGTGTACGAGTGTGTACACATTTTTATTAGGGTGGCTAAGTCACCAAAACTACATCAGTGCCAATTAATAAAAAAATAATGGACGGACAAAATGGAAACTTAAATTTATAAACTATTTACACTTCAAGAATAATGGAGCATTCCAGAATTGAAATCAATTAATACCAATATTTACGTTTATAAACTTGTTTGAAACATTTCAAAAGTTCGCTGCGTTAACAGTCTTATTTATGGAGAATCAGAAAAGTTCATATTAGCATCAATTTTATTTAGTTCTCCCATTATGCTTACTTAAGTATTATTTGTATTTTTTATTAAAGTACTTAAAATGCTAGAAAATTTAAACCAAAACAAACAGAGAAACAACATGAAATAAAAAAAAATACGTCAACGTTGAAACAAAAAGATGTGTAAATATACGGACGGATGGCAAATCTAATAAAAGCGAATGGTGAATGCTCTTATATGATATGTCATATTGTTATGTATCCAAATATTTGTACACTTATATGAAGATATCATAAGTATATACATTTAAGTTCATGTGTACATATACATATATATGTGTGTATGTGCATAAATGAATGCAAATGTGTATGTGTGTGTGTGTTTATGTTACAGCTTAAATATAAAACAAAACAAAAAAATCCAATAAAAGTGTCATTCTCTGTTCTAAAGTTGAATAAATATCATGGCGTTAGGAAATATGATGTACTGGTATGGATGTGTGTGTCACATGCGATGTACATCCGAGCAGGATAAAGAAAATGGTGTAGGGTTTTAACATGTTTATATTCACAATTATAGACTACATTTTATAACTAGATATACTAGATAAAATATTGGATTTCGCTGAGTACGCATTCAACGTTCGCAATAATATCAATATAAACATTTTTTTTAACAATTCTTTGTATTTAGTATAATTCTAATTCCTCGTAAAACGTCAGTCCTATAAAATTCTTGTAAAACACGTTTGGTCTTCTTGAAAGTAAAAAAAACTAAACTTAAAAAATGTAATTAGAGTCCATGTTTTGCTCATCTGTATAGCCGTATACTCGCACCTAAATCATCTGACGCTATGTTATGCCTTTCGTAGGCCCACAGATTATTGGAATATATTTGCATGTTTATGTTTGTATTTGTCTCTTATGATAATTCCGTATATGTAGGTGTAAGTAACATCATCAACAACTGGAACATCCTAACAGGAGGCCATTAGAACACATTGAGCTCAGCTGCAGAACTTGTTTTCAATTGAAAAGATTCTCATTGTACTGCTGTGTTGTGTGTTGAATTTTTTTCCCCATTTTTCTTTCTTGGGCTCATTTTATTTATTTTTTTCTACTCTAGTCTATCTGCCTGTAAGAATGAATGAACAGACTTGTTTTGCATTAGGTATTACTACATATTTGCTTGCCACGGGTACGGTATTTGCTCTCTGCTGTGATGATTGAATGAGTGGGGGATTAGGAGACCAAGTGGGAGGAATTTGGCGCGCCAGCTAAGACGGCGGAAATGGCTTATTTCTATTTGAGCTGCTGTTGTACTGGCAGGCACCATTGAGCCTTGTTCATTTTTGTGTTTATTTGCTGTCTTTCGCGCTCCATTCTTCGTCATCGTCGTGCCTTTTGTTCGTGTTACAGTGTATAGCAGAAAAACGTCTGCTCCATGGCCATATTCCCACGCGAATGCTTGTTTAAGGTCTATTGTTCCCAAGATAGCAAATTCTTTTCTGGGAAATAATTCCACAATGAAAGCAGACGTTAGGAGGCAATGTTTACCGTTTTGTGAAGATGCGCGCATAATCCCCATCCCAACGTACCCCGGGCACCACAACTCCCCACAATTCTAGGGATTGCTAGTGATAGAGCAGCCAATATGTTGGTGTTTTGCGCTTCGCTTGATTTCATTTTCCAATAATTCCTTTTGTGGAGTGTGCGGTTTGGCATTAACCGTTAGTTTGCAAAAAAAAAATGAATAAAAGTTTAAAATTATTTCGAACTTTGGCTGGCAAGTCTTTAATGCAGTCAGTCTCCCGGCAAATGGGCTTTAAGGATATGAAAAGTTTATAACCAATAAATGTATGAATTACATTTCCCTTGGGGGAGGGAGGGGGAGTCTTACTACGTTTAAAAACTTATTAAAGTTTTGCTTTTGCCAAGCTAATATTTTAAACATTGTTATCTACCTATCTATCGATATGTAAAAACAAATACTTATACGGATGTATGTTTAAATAACAATAAAGCTCGCAATATACTCTTAGAATGTTTTATATCGGCCCTTTTTGTGATATTCGATATTTTGAAACTTCTGGCCACATTTTCAACCTAATTAGCTTTAATTTTATATTTTGAGTTCTCCCTGGATAGATAATCTAACTACTCAAAATTATCAATATTGATCCACTTTTAGGGTAACCACATTTCACAAACGAATTGACACTAATTTGATATTTTGGATTCTCAGTGGATTGAAAATCTATATTACAAAAATGTTTCGGGGAAAGACATTCAGGCATTTATGCATACAGAAATAAAAAAACATTTCGTGTTAGCATGTGGGAATCGACGAATTACTACAGATTACAGAAAAATTCGAGATCATTTTATTTGGCACTTTTGACATGTGGTCTACAAGATATAATTTCGAGATCATTTTATTTGGCACTTTCGACATGTGGTCTACAAGATATAATTCGCTGTTGAGAAGTAATCGTCATTTGTATGTTTATATAAGCGTATGATTAACTGTCTTTCTGTCATTACGACAAATAATCATACGCCACCCTGTGTGCACTTCAACTTGTCATTAATCTATTTTACTGTTTATCCATTTCAGATGCGGTCAGGAAACCAGAGTAATACCCAGAATACTACAACTGCGTTCACATTGGCTCAAGTCCGAAAAGGAATCACTGCGACTTGTGGAGGCCGGCATCACCAAAGAAGTTATGAACAGTGCAATCGCTCAATTCTGTTTAGAAATCATTGCAAAACATGGCGATCCAGCACCCAGACTCTGTAACAAGGATCCGCTAACATTAAAAATGGGCACATATGTCATTGAACTGTTTCCCAATGTAAGTTCCGCACAACAGTTGCACTACCATGACACAGCTAATTCATGCCTCATTGTGTTTTTTTTTATTGTAGGCGAAATTCCTATTTATGGTACGCGATGGTCGAGCCACCGTCCATTCAATAATTTCGCGTAAGGTAACAATAACTGGTTTCGATTTGACCAGTTATCGCCAGTGCATGCAAAAATGGAATCATGCTATTGAGGTTATGCACGACCAATGCAAGGAAATTGGAAAAGAGCGTTGTATGATGGTGAGTTTTTGTAAAAGAAAACAACATTAAATAGTGAAATTGAAATGTGTCCTTACGAATGGTAGTCACCAACTAACAACATTGTTGCCATGTGCAATGCAGTCAGTCTCCCGTACACTCTGGAAATCTAATTGTCCTATCATTGGTCCCTATTACTACATATATCCATGTTTATCTAGCGAAAATTTTAAATATTCTATTCTATTTTCAAAAAACAAAATAAGCAAAAATACAAGCTTTCAATAGTGAAATGTTTTACCTGTATGCGTATTTTGCAAGGAACTTCTGAGATGAATAAAATCGTACACATACGTGTGGTATTAGGAAGTCATCGTTTTTAAAATCATTTTTAAAATATAAATTGAACACAGCATGTTTTGTTTCAAAATATACCCATCAAGCAACATAACAAAAGGCGATTAAGTGGATAACACTTAATTTGTTATAGAATTGCAAAGTATCGCCCATTTTCAAAAAAAGTATCGAAATAGATAATTATTAAAAGTTAAAAGTGACACTCTTTGGAAGTGCTTGCAGCGTAGAAACGAGCCCTAGTGATGAACCAAATTGTGTAACAGGGGTATCCCGATGTTTGCGTGTATTTGTGTGTGTGTAGATTTCCCTCCGAACTGTTGTTATGTTTTGCCTGCTGCGTGCATCTACACCAGGCAGTATAATATCCTGCCAGACAATTTATGTAAAATCGCTTTAATAGTAACTGTCATGTTGTCCATTAACCTCGCTTGCATTCGTTTTTTTTTTTTTTGCATGGCTTCTTTTTACATTGTAATATTTTGATTGGAAATTAAATGCAGCGTATTTTAAAACGATTAATGTCGTTGTGCAGAAATTGTTAACAAAGTGGCCTTAATTTGCAGTCATAATACCATGGCATGTTATTAGAGTTTGACTCACAATGCCAGTAAAATAATATACTGTGTGTATGTATTTAGTGGTACAGTCGAATTCGGTTAAGCGAAAACGTCTAATTTCAGAAAAAAATTTTCTCTTAAGCAGAATTTTTAAATAAAAGAACTTCGGATAATCGAAACTCGTTGCGCTTAAATGAAGTTTTCAATCAATTTCTGAAAAATCTTGAAATTTATAAATCATATTATGAAATGAATTGAGTAAGAACTTATTTTTTCGTAGACATTTTCTTGGATGGTTGGAAAAATGTGCAACATAATATTAGGGTTGCACATAAAAATTAAAAAAAAACTAAAATTTACAAAAATGATTTTTTTCTCTTAAACGGTGCTCGTTTCATATATAATTGTGTTTTTGCAACAAAAAATCCTTCTCTTATACATATTTTCAATTAACCGGTTTTTCTTTTATGCGAAGTCGAGTGTTTGAAAATTCATCCGAAATATTAGTTTAAAATTTTTAGTTTTTTTAGTAGTATTCCCTACTGGATTTTGACAAAATATTATAACCTTTCAGTAAATATTATAACCGGTAGTACAAAATGAAAAAAATCGCTGTTGCAAACATAAATTTACTGTGAAAAAATTCATTTCGGGGTACGTACGTCCCTGATTACCATATTTTGATATTGGCTTATACCGTTCAGACTATCTGCTTTACATTGACCAAACGCACATAAACAGCTTTTTATTTGTCTGTATTAAGAAATCCATATATTTTCCTAGACTTCAGAAATAAACTTAATTTTCGATTCCAAATTTTTATGATTTTCAACTGGCTCGGGTATGAACTACTTTATTGACTTTGCTCGAAATTTGGCAAAATTTTTTGAAAAATCGTATATTTTCGACCAAAAACCAAGCTGGAAAATATGGAGGATCTGGACCAATTAAATTTATCCTATTTCATACGATAGTTATGTAGATCTCGATTGGATTTCGAGTAAAACACATAAAAGTGCTGTCACCTGCCGCTTCAAGAGTTTTTGAAATTTTAGAGAGACATTCTTGAGAAGATATATATTCAACTGAGAAAGGGGGTCCCCTTAAATTCTTGGTGATCTTTCGTAACGGAGTTTCTTCTAAAAATTTCGAAATGTCTTTATATTCAATTTTGGTCGTAACCGGAACCCATCACCACAGCATCACATTTTCATTTATATAAAATGCAAACATAAATCATTTCAAATATCAGAAGATAAAAATTCAACTAAGCCTATGCCGCACGATTTCCTACCCATGCCATTACCGCTGTTGCTGCTGCAGATGATAAATTTCTGGAAACCATCAGTGATTTATGAAGAACGATAAGCTGTACTTCTGTACAGCCTACACTCATCGTAAATAGCTACGATGGTTTAGTTTAGTGAACAGTCAGTTAGACCATTAGGTTTCATTGTCAGTGCTGCTGTATCTGGCGTGGCTAATATAATAAATGTACTTGGAGAACAGCAGGATAGCTACAGATATCATATCCATTGAAATGTGAACCTCTGTGTGGGTCCGTATTACAAAGGTATAGTAATGCTGAATGAATTCTACTTTTAAACAATTTGTTCCACATGCGATTTGGGTGGCTTTAAGACCCAAAGTGCAAACATCCTAAAAATACTTCGATCTTTACACATTTTAATGTCATGCTTCAAGAACTATGGATGTACAGTCCTAAGGTGTTTTGAGGTTACAACACTATTTTTAAAAAAGTCCACAAAAAAACGAGATAAAATCCGCGATATGTCCCTTTCCCGCCATTCTGTTGGATAGATTTTCTCTTTCTAAAATAAAATATTTTAAAATTGTGCTCAAATTGAGCTTTGGTAAAAGTTGAAAAAATTGTCCATATACATATGTTATTTTTAACAAATTTCAAATTCTTTTTTCTTTTTACAGGTTTACTACGAACAGCTGGTATTACATCCTGAAGAATGGATGCGTAAAATATTGGAATTTCTCGATGTTCCTTGGAATGACTCTGTACTACATCATGAGGAGTTTATCAACAAACCAAATGGTGTGCCACTCTCCAAGTAAGAAATTAAAACATTAATAGTTTTTTTTTAATTAAAGAATATTGGAAATCAATGGAACACAATTAGAATAACTGTACAATTATGACATCAACTTATGATGCGCATCCACATATATTTAATAATGGTTATGTATCCATACTCACCGTAGTTTATAAATGCACCTCAACGTATTTTAATGATTCCATTTTCATAGGTCTTCTTCAGGCAATGCTGTCGCTACTTATTCTCTGTCACTTTTCCAAGCCTGTCCGTGCTTCCATTCATTTTTATGTCATCTGGCATTTGCAAAATCCCAGAATTTTAATATCATTAACTAACTTCCGCCATAACTTACAATTATGGCCCAAATGCAAGGCACAGCCAAATGCAGATGTGCTTGAAAAGGGCGGGTGACAGTTTTTCTGTTGTGGTATGCGTGTAGAATATAAACTTTTTTCTTTAAGGTAGCACAATGTCTCCAAGCCAAATGGCTAACGAAGCAATTAACTTTTTGTCTCCCATTTTTCTTGTCTATTAATTTGTTGGAATTGTTCTTCTTATTCTTGTTTTAAATGTGATTCCGTATTCTTGTGTCTTTGCAGGGTGGAACGTTCATCGGACCAAGTGATTAAGCCTGTAAACCTGGAAGCACTGTCGAAGTGGGTTGGCAACATACCCGAAGATGTGGTACGCGATATGGCGGACATAGCACCTATGCTCTCAGTGTTGGGCTATGATCCCTTTGCAAATCCGCCGGATTACGGTAAGCCAGACGCCTGGGTGGCAGATAATACATCGAAGGTATGTGTGTGTGGCTTGTATAAATACCGTTGCTCTTCTTGTTGTTGGTTCCTCGTTTGTTTGGGTTGTTTGTTTGGTTGTTAATATACGCTTGTTTTCTGATTTGCTCCATTTAGTTAAGTTCATGAGTTTGTTTTGTGTTCAATTCAGTTCAGTTTAGCCTGAACTCTGTTTTCCCAATTCCCCATTGTGCATTGTGTATTATTTGAGCTGTCTGCTGTATAGTCCGGCTTTTCCTTCCCCGTTGCCACCAGCCATTTCCATTTATGAATGTTCTTGTTTTTTTCGTTTCATGTTATTTTTGTTGTCTTTATTGTACGTGTTGTGCGCCATCCATCCATCTATTCAGTCATTTCTCTTATTTTCGTATTATATTCCATTATGTTTCGTTTAATTTTAACTTTCCTTTTCTTGAAAAAAAAAATGTATTCCTTTTGTTGGGTGTTTTCTTTGTTTGACTTCGTCCTCGTTGTCGTCTTGAAGAAATAAATAAAAAAGTTTTTCTAACAAATGTTGACATTGTATTTCGGCTCCCACTGCTCCTCCTGACGTTTTGTTGTTACTGTTCAACGTAACGACATTAGGTAGTTTAAAGTAATCTTCATTTTCGCTTGCTCCTATTCCGTTGTGTGGCTGTGCGTATCGCACCGACGTTCTCGGAGTAAATGATAGTCAATTATGTTGCTTTATGTTAGCTTTCAGCATCCTAATGACTTTTGAAATGTTCCAAAATTTATGAACGTGTAGAAATCTGACTCGCGTTTTTACTCTGCAGAACTGCAACATGATGCCATAATATAAAGCAATCATGACTTGGTTTTTTGGATTATGATGTGAATTGGTAAACCAGTTTACAAGAATACTTTTAATTTAAATTAACCTTGCAGTCACTTTTCTCGACAAACACATGATTTGAATGAAATGAAATTGAAGAAAAAATGTGAACTCATTTGTGTACTTTTGTACTTTTCTATGATGACTTTATTCCTAATTTACATATTTGGACAATAACTGATTGATTATAGCCCTTTTCATTCTTTACAGATAATGTTATCTCCAAATTATATAAACTAATTTATCGAACCTTCGTATGATCAAATATTTTGATATTTGTTTTATAGCGAACCCTAGGGCACACATTACCTGTTGAAATAAAATTAAATTTACCACGTACATTAACGTAACGGTAAATTTTTCAACATAATATTCATGGTTGTATATATCTCAAATCAAATTAACATAAATGACGGGGTTATTGTTGTTGCTGTTCGTTGTAGGTCCATACGCAGACACTCACTCTCATCACAAGCAAACATACGTACAAACAATACCCCCATGACCTGTTAATTCGATGTGCGTTAATGCATAATTAAACATTGTAATATAAATACATAATTTTAATTAATACAAACAAATGCCATTACCAGACGTGATGCGGAGGAGTTAAGGGGGGTGGGCTGGAATTAAATCAATAATGCCTGCAGGTTTGCTACTAAATGGTTCATGGCCCACTGCTCCCTGTAATGATAAACAAATACAAAGTGTGGTTGCCTGCGGTCTTGTCAATTGGTGTGAATTGGTAAATCTCGCGGTACAAACAACAGCAGTTAACAATCAACCCCTCCCACATAATTACAGTCTGATTTGATTAGGAACGACATTCAAAACTAAATGACATCATTGTCGTCAGTCTATTCAAGGATGATATCTAGTGATAAGGATATCTAAATGGTAAAATATTCTGACCCAATTAGGCGTTGGTGGCAGTGTTCATAGCTTGAGAACATGTACATTGTTCTGTGCAAAACATATCAGAATAAATTTATACGGAAATTGAGTACATTTTATATTTTAGATGAAAATCGGATTATTCATTTACCAAAGTTGAGATGAGACGTTATTTTGTATGATGGATGAGACGTTATTTTGTATTTTTTTTTTCGAACGTGTATTCGTCAATCTATTCATATATGTATGTACTTGCGATTCATTTCAGTACTTTTCTGTTAAAATTCTATAGCAAATGTATTATTGTATATCTCTGAATATAAGTACAGTTCGTTATAGTGAAAAATTCGTTATATCGCGAAGGTGCAATTTTATTTAAAAGCAAAAAAGTTAATCCACTTTTCAATGGACTTCTAACAAAAAATATATTTATTAACGTATTAACAGTAATAATAACGTGTTTACATATTTTTTATAAGGCTAGCCCATTATTTTTTGCGTCATTCGTTATACCCAGTATATATATTTGGAAAACTTTCGTTATATGCGATAGTCGACTATTTGCTCATTCGTTATATCCCGAATTCGTTAAACTAAGTATTTGTTATATATATGGCGGCGACTGTATGAGTTATTACACCATCTTCAGATTCTCATTTATTATTCATTACCGACATATTGTTAGAATACTCTACCACTTTGTCAGATTCAAACCTTTTTGTACTTTATTGAATAAAATTGTCAAAGTAAAAAAAAAAAATCCTTTTTGGGAAGCAAAATGGATGAAATGTGAAGGTTTAAAAAAAAATTAATTAAACATTTTCACTCCATAACAGAAAAACGTGAATGTATGAAATGAACTCGCGTTATGTTGCACATTGGCGCAATGAATAAATGAAATTCATAGCAAACGACGAATGCCATAATAAACGATGATAATTAATTATGGTAATGAATTTTCCCTGATCGAATTGTAATGTGTCATTTTGTGGAATTAAAGGTGGATGCTTCGACTTTTAGTGTGGCCAATTGACTTAAAACCCGCATTTATGTCTCGCCCCGTCATTACGCAAATATATGTTAAACTCATTTCCACTTAGAGTTCTGCAAAAGTCCGAGTAGTTGTGTCATTTATATGAGCTACATAAACACACACAAACTTTCCTTAATTTATTTATTATGAGTTTTAAATTTTTCTTATATTTATTGTTATTTAAACACATTCACATTTCAATATGTGTATATATGTATGCATACATCTGTATAAATATTTATTGACCACGGGACATTGCTTTGATTTCGGGTCATAACGTCATTCATTTTCAAGTTAATTTCAATTAATGACTTCTTTATCCTTTTCATTTCTTTTGGAATACTTTTAATTGGCACTGGACATGCCATTGGCGTGGACACAAACGATAAAATAAACAAACAAACACCATCAACTAAAAACCAATGAATGCATGGACATGCTCTTGGACTCGAACAGCTAAAAGCCAATCGAAGGCTATGGGAAAATAAAGCTAAGGAAGTGTTGAAAATGTCGCCCCATCAACAACAGAATGCCAATGCCGAAGAGGAAGAGGATAATATCAATGAGACATTTGCTCCAGGAAATTCCAACATAATCAGCAGTAACAACAACAATCAATTCAAGCATAACAATAAGGACACCAATAACCATAATAACAACGACGGCGATGACGACGATGGCACATCGATGATGCAGCAGCAACAACAACTACAGCAACATCTGGAACAAAAACGCTCTCAACCATACCCCATGGATGGTATTAACTTGCAGTACAAGGAAGATATCAATGGGGACATTGTCGACAACGACAACAAAAACAATAATGATAATATGCTGCAACATCAGGACGAGCAGCTCTTTAACAACGAGTTAAGAGCTCCTCTGAACGATATGTATCGAAGGAAAAAACTGTTGGATGTAGCGACGATAAGGCAGCTGAACAAAGAAAACGAATAATAAAAAGAAACAACGTTAAAGGAAGAACAACAACTACACTCACACACAATCCAACATTCAAAATGTCATAATGCTTGGAGGAGCAGTGATGACAATGATGAGACCACCACTAAACAATTCCTACACCACCAACACAACCACCACCTACTACTGCAGCAACAACACGAAGACGACCACCAATCAAACAACTAAACAACCCTGACTTTTTACCGATTTGTCTAATGAACCGAATCGCATCATCAGCTATCGATCATTGAATAAAAGAGAAAAAAGGCACCATCAACATCGGTGTAGTAACTGAGCACACATCAAGCCAACCACATATTCTGCACGGGAAGATTTGCATGCACACACAGCAGCAGGGCACTATAGAGAGCGATAAGAATAGAACATAGGAACACCTGTGAATAACTTTTCAGCCAGCGTATGATGCTGACAAAAAATCGTATTCCATTGTTGCACAATTTTCTACATCAAATGCCAGCTAGAATGGCGCCGGAAATGCAATAGGGAAACGGATGTTCCATCATGAGCAGCAGTTACCAGAATGTAGACAAAGACAAAGCAACAGGCGAAACGAACAATGGTATCTCTATCGGAATGATTAAACAATTCACATTTGTATTGCGCGCAATGTGTGAGTGCGAGCACGGCGCCCAAATACCATCGATATAGCAATCATCTGCACATACAAAGCTAGAAGAGTATATAGTTTCAGGATAGGTATGTATGTAGGTTGCATTTCAACAAAATCAATAAAGCAGATAAAACAAATAGAAACCAAACCAAATAAAGTGTATTAAACCATTGAATCAATACAGTAAACATATAAACATACAAAAGCACACACGCACACACTTTTACACATAATTCGCTATTTACAGACATCCAAGTACACGATGTCCTTAATATTTTATTTAAATTGCCTAAAGGGTGTCCTGTACTAAAAACCACCTATATACACATCCTGTGCATATATACCTAAATACTATACACACATATATTACATTGGACTTGTTATGTTGTAGTATGTTTCTAACCATGTTGATGGTTAGGAGATATAGTTGTTCAAATGTAACAATACTTTGCCAAATATAGATTTCGTTTGGTGAAAGATTCAATTGTAATGCAAAATTTAATTGCGGCGACAAAAAGCCACACAATTTCAACAGTATCATTGAACGACCTTCCATATAGTCATAATGCTGTCTCTAACTTTATTGATATATATATATATATATATTTTGAATGGCAACAATTTGTTGGCGCTTCTTTTATTTTTAAATAGCTATCCTATTTAAAATCTATTCTGGTATATATAAAAAAAAAACAAAATATACGACTTTACCCACATTCAATTTAATCGAATCTAATTTTAATAAATGACTGGAAAATTCCATTCTAAAGCATAAACTGTCTTCAAAAGTTCAATCGTGTTTAATAATGAACAACAATTCGACAACAAACATGAAACAGTCCAATCTAATTAACACCTTTTTATACAAATAAACACAACATACATACATCTATGTAGGTTATGTTATATTCCAAGGAATTTAATTCAAAATGTAATTACGTTATTTTCTAATTTTTAATATAGTTTAATTTTTTTATGATGTACAGTTAGTTAGTGTTTCTAAATAGTTAGCCATACTAAATATTAGTTTGTTTTGTCTGTATTTGTACATAGAATTCGATATAATGAATATGATTTGTATACAACTTCAATACATTGACAACATAAATAAACATTTGCAAAGCAAATTTTTTGAAGGAAATAATACAATTAATACATAAGCGATTATATTTTATTTATATAATACATAAACACCTATATACTAATTATTATTATGTAATTAATAAATTTAACGAATGAAGTTAAGAACACCTCTAAAGAGCTTTTAATAATATTTTAAAACGTTTTTATTTATATATATAGAAAGTATGTATACAATTTATTTAAAGAAACAAAAGAAAAACAGCATTGAAACAAAACACAAATCCCTCTCCTGAATAATTGATTATGATACAAAATAAAAAGAAGAAAAAAATGAAACAGAATGTGTAAACACACACACGTACAACAACCCATCTGTACAGTGTATAGTTAGGTAAATTTATTTTATAAAATAATGTGACTGATTGTGTATAAATATAAATATATATAAATAAACATGAGAACAGAAAATCAATTGTTGTCAACCATTAAAAATGCTGCAACCATTAAAAGTGCATAGGTACGATGTTCGTATGGCAATTCCAGGCACATGTTGCAAGGATTAGTCATTCGATTAAATTAAGGTAGAACGTAAAGTACGGATTCAAAAAGACATTACAGCAAACAACGCTTTTATCATTCGAAATATTATATTTGTTTCTTACGATGGCATTAGCTACATTTAACATTTACTACGTTTTAGACAATCAAAATATAAGAGCATGCAAAATTATGTGAGTTCTTGGAATGGATGGCATCAATATATTTGAATCAAAATGTATTTATCTGTTAGACTATGCATGAATATTTGACTTATCTGACTGGCCCGAGTGATGGCTTAAAGATTTTCTGGTTGACTGATACATACAATCCTCGTATCTGATATATTTGATCTATAACAAGGACTATGTAAACAAAAATCTGCTGACAAAATTGTCAGGCATGATACCCATCACAGACAAATGTATTTTATTTATTTTTTGTTGTCATTATTTTGCCTATCCATGGAATGTTTAAAAAATGGTTTATTTTATCCATACCTGAAGAAAAACATTGCTTTTTCAAAAATTAAATTCCCTTCATTATGTATTGAACGTTTACTATTATTTCAATTAATTTGGTGATCACAAATTCAAAATCGGCAATAATTTTAAATGAGATTATTTTTACTAAAATTAAGGTTTATTCCAAGATTCTAAAATAAACGTTCAAAAATTATTTTGGAATAACTTTGACTATATTATTATTATATTCTAAACAATTTCAAACAAATCCATATAGTGTAAATCTGCAAAGACAAGAGACGATGTATGAAATCTGCTGACAATAAACTATAAACCAAAATCTTTTGATAAAGAAAACTTATAAAAAACAAAATTCCTACTGTAAAAAAATAAGCAATGATATCTTAAATGCTTTTTATTCTAACACATTTTATTTAACCCCATGATGTAGTAATTAAATGCATTATACCGACGTACACAGTTTTCATATTAAAAAGCTCATCGTTTACATTAAACACATTCCAGAGAAGCAAGGCCGGTGTTCAATCACGTGCGCGAAAAAAATCTACTCGCTTTGTAGGATTAATATTTTCCCGCCAGAGTAGACCCACAAACGTTTATGATAAAAATGCGTAGAATATTTTGTGTTGATTCGAAACCTTAGGAACATTTTATTAATTTCATTTGATGTTAATTAAAAATGCAAAGGAAGCGGCACAAAGCGGAAAACGGAAATTTATTACGAAAAGTTTCCCTTAAACGAATCCAAAGAGGAGGTACAAATGAATTGAAAACTGTGTAAAAAGGCCGCTAAAATACTGTTAACCACAAAATGTTTGGCAGCTGAAGGTGAACTTTTACAAAAAAAAAAAAACATTAACGGTCAGTTTCCTTTTCCCAGATGGTAGATGGAGGCAAATAACCGGAGGTATGTTAAAGTTTATGTACCCAACAAAAACAAGAATTATAATTTAACAAAAAATAAATGATCAGAACATCAACAGAAGTATTTATGTATGTATTAACAAAATGTGACAATGTGAACCAAAACATGATATAAAGCATGTGCATTTGTTAAGAAAAAAATAATAAAATAAACAAAAATAATAATTTTGTAGAAAAAAAAGTTTGGTTTTTGTGTTTCACCTTAGGGAAATTCGTACAGGTAAGCTGGGAATATTGCAGAAAATAACGACTGTATACCAATGCTATTTTTGTATGTATGTCCGTCCCCATTGTTGTCGGCCTCACACCAGACCGAATAAATAAGAACTCCTATTTATGGAGAAATAATGAGTAAAAGTTTCTTAATTTGACAGATGTTAGTATTATGTGGAGATTTTTATTTTAAGTATTTTCCTTTCATAAAATGTCATCATTCTCAGTTGACATGCTTTAATGTTCAGGAACAAGGACATGGGCTAGGAGCAGAGAGAGAGGGACCATCAACGAGCACCCCTTCGAAACAATTGTTATTCATATATTGAGTATTTTTTATAAACGAAAACCGATTAGCGGGGAAAGATTAATTTTTCACCAACGGGTAAGACGTATATATGCATTTAGACATCATTGTTAGGAATGGGAAAACTCTGCGTGACGTAACACATGCGACATTTGTTATTTTGCAGTTTTTATATCTGCAGTATCTATATTTGTAGCCATTAAATTAGAATTTATGCTAAGAAAAATATGCGAAATTACCAGGGACCGAAAATAACAGTTATTTTTTAAAATGCGAACAAAAAAATCTTCATGTTAGAGACATGGGACACTAATAGTGTCATATACCAATAGATTCGTACTGAGGAACCCATTGAGGATATTGAGTGATCCTCTCAGTTCCCATGTTAAGGATTATTTTTTAACGAAAAAAATAAACGTTGATTTTTAACTGTTAAAAATGATTTTTATTTTTTCCGTCAAAAATAAAAGTCTTTT